CCAGGGAGGGGCCTGCTAACGTGGCACTCCCTGCTGCTGACGCGGCCTGCTGACGTGACCTGCTGACGTGGCCTGCTGACATGGTCTACTGACATGGTCTGTTGATGTGGCCCGCTGACATGGCAACTTACTAATGTCGCTGCAGTGGGTTCCCGGAGACCGATAGAAAAGATAAGACCAGAGGGGGCAACAACGTAGGTGGGGAGGGGTGGGTGGGATAAATCGCCCAGATAAGGAGCCACTAATAATAAAAAAAAAGTTTGAACTTTGCAAAAAATTCGAGGAAAAAAAAAAAATACTCGTTTGCAAGTTCAGTAGGCCTCTCAATTCCCCTTGAAGTGCGAAATTACGAATGAGGAAAAATTTTCGAACTTTCAGACTGCAAATGATTATCCGATAAGAGAATTTCGAAAATAAAATAAAATAAAAATATTCGGAATTACTCAGATTAGAGTACTCGCCATTTGAAAAATGGTAACTGCAAGAGGGATTTCCCGTACCGTTTTGAAATCTCGAAAAACGAATTTCGGAAATGAGAAAAATATTCCGGATTTCCAAATAACGGAATTTGCAAACGAAAATCAAAAATTAAAAAAAAAAAAATATTTCGGATTTTCAACAACGAAATTTTAAATTTTCAGAATAAAAAGCGAAAACGAAAATTTTGGGTGTTGCGCTATTGCGATTTTCCACAACAAAAATAGCGGGAAAACAAAATCCAAGAAAAGAAAAAAAAATCGATTTTCGGCAGTGAGGTCAAAATCGTGATTTTGGGGGCTAATTAGTGTGCTCTAATCATTCAATCGAGACTAATCAGCTACTTAGTACCCGCACACGTGTCATATGAGGTTGTCCTAATTCACGTGCGGTGTTCCGATACCAACTGTTACATGCCCAGTTGGGCGATGTACATATATAACCAAGGATCCTCAATGTGATGAAAAGGATTGAATGGACAATGCAGTGCAAGTGAAATCTCAACAAGCAGTGTACATCCTGATACATACAAAAATGATGCTTTATAGCGCAGTGCAGTGGAAGACTTAGATACAAGTCCTGACCTGACCGGGACTGACCTCTCTCACGTAGTGCAAGACAGCGCAGCAGAATGCTAGAATACCAATGACTAGCCCAATCAATGTCGCAGTACAGATTAAACATACATCATCCTCATCACAAGGTGTGAAGGGGCCTGGCGCTACACACAAGAAGAATGTGCCAGATCCAGTCCATACACAGACGAAGAGGAGGGGAGCAGACGAAGAAGAAGGGAAGATGGGAATATCGTCAACACTAAGTCTTCGTTACAAGTCCCAGATAATCCTTGTCAAATGTCTAAAGCCCAATGTCGAGTCTGGATCCAAATGTCACCAAGCCAGCTCTCTCACAGTATGCTGATGCAGTGAAGTCAGATAGCGAGAGGGTGAGAGGGAGATGGTGGACTGAGAAGAGGAAGAAGAAGAACTCTCTCTCTCTCTCATGTGCCAGGTACTAACCTGTGAAGATGGCGTCGTGCTGCAGGTACCTCGAAGGCGAAGTTGGAGCTATGGCGCTGCAGGTAAGTCTCCTTGGCCTCCGCCCAATCTCTCTCTCTCTAATACTACTCTAGCTCCTAATAGCGTCCAACGTTGAAGACTACTGCTAACGCTACTAGCGCCCAACGCTGAAGACTACTGTTAGCACTACTACTACTCCTGCAACGCTCCTCCAGAGTGCTGCTGCCGAATCCTGAAGACTACCTCCTACCTCATGAACTGCACGTGAAGTGCCTGGGAAGTACCTAAGAACTACCTGCAGCCTGTAGGGCGGGCCAGCTTTATATAGTGCTGGCCCATCCAGGAGGCTTCTCTTGCCAATGCCAAAACGTGCCAGACCCTGGGGTTGAAGCTCGAACAAATGTTGTCTTGAAAATAGGCCAAAAATGGCTTGAGCTAAAACGGTGGTCAGGTGCTTGAGTTTCAGGGCGGTCGATCTTATGAGGGCCTAAAAATGGCCCTCCGTTTCAGGCTGAAAAGACTCAGGGCCGGAAAGGCCCTGTTTTAGGCTGAAATGACACAGGGCCTGTAGACCCTTGTTTTCAGGCTTTCAGGCTGAAACAACACAGGGCCTGTAGGCCCTTGTTTTCAGGCTTTCGGGCTGAAAATGACACGGGCCTGCTAATGGCCCATGCAGCCTGTTGCAGGTGCAGCATGCAACACAAGACTGCACCCTTCCAGTGTACCTGTCTATGCCCTCCTACCCCACTTAGAGGTGATGATATGCTGAAAATGGTCCTGGCCCTCTAAGCCCGACGTAGAAATTGGTTGACGACATGCAGAAACTGTTAGATCGCGTAACGCGCGGGAATGCAGCCAGGAGGGTAGCAGGCTTTTTGTTGTAGACATGCGGGAAGGTGCGGTAGAATGGAGTGGGTGCGGAAAAGACAGCTTTCAGAAACTGCATCGTATACAAAAGGAAAAGAAAGAAGAAACCGGACACAAAAGAAAAAGAGAAGACACAACAACAACCACTTTTTTCATATTCCCCTATCTGACTGCGCCTACAGCCACATATATTGTGCAAGAACACGTCTACATTACTGCCCAACAGCCCACCCTCCTTCCTCACCATTCTGTACACCCTTCCTCGAAAGATGAAAGCCTCGCCATCTAAAAAACGCTATAGGTCCTTCAGGATTTGGAACGATACAGAGAAGTTCAGCATCATGGCCCCTGCGCAAGGTTGACACACATAAATAGAGAAGTTGTACAACACTACGAGGCTCGCCACACAGGCTGTCGAATGTCGAAAATTTTCGACAGGTGTCAATAATTTTTCGACAGCCCGCCGCTCGACAATTTTGCCCCCTATCGCCACACAGCCTGTCGAGAGGCGAAATTGTTGAAAGTAGGCAAGTCGAAACCGCCTTTCGACAGGTGCTGTGTGGCGAAGGCGGTGGACTGTCGGGAGTCGTTACAGCGAGCAGTTTGAAGGCCCGGAACCGGTTCCCCGCGGAGTATCAGCGGAGATTCAGCGGAGACAAGGGGCAGGGGCGGCGGCCGGTTTATCTTGGCCAGAAACGTTCGGCCTTTTCCATGTATGTGGCTCGAGAAATGGGAACTGGGGTCCTGGCTGGAGAGCCTCATGGACAGGGCCGGCGTTACTGCGGAGAGGGAGCGGTCACAAGGGGCAGGGCCGGCGGGCCGACGATGGACACGGCGATAGAACATGGCCTGATACACCACCACACCAACCGCGCCAATGAACCACTCGCATGGAAGGGGACCAGAAACCCCCCGGAAAAAAAAACACAAAATACAAAAACAAATTACATGCCACACCCGCGCAAGGCTCCGCTGGCCCGCCCATTCCGCAAGGACTGCCAAGCACGGGCAACCACAACGCAAGGAATTGACCGCCAGAATGTGGCCAAAACCACTGCCCGAAATTGGCCTGCTAGCCAGACCCAGGCGTGCTGTCCGCTGCTCCACCCATTGTGCGCGCAAGCGGGCCACCGCGATGGGACCAGCCGAAACAAGACGTCCACGCCGTTTTCGACAGCCACTTTCGACGACATACGGACAAACAGTCCACGGCTGTCAGGGAGCAGTCCCTGACAATGGAAAATAGGAGGCGTTTCTCAAAAGGTCGGCGGTGGACTGTTGAATTTCCTTGAGCTGCAGACGGGAGGAAACGAGTGCGGGATGGTGGCTGTCGAAAGCACAAATCTGACACCTGTCGAAAGTTTTCTGAACCGGAATTCGTCGAAAGCCTGTGTGGCGATGCAAAAATGTCGAAAAATCGGTTTTCGACAGCCTGTGTGGCGAGCCTCTACAACTAGCAAATGTGCAGTAGCCCAGTTGGTCGGACGCCTGTGTTCACAGGATGCGGGTTCGAGTCCTGGCCTGCTCGAATGAGTGCCGCGATCAGAATCTGCCATGTTGGACTCCTGAGTACCCCACGTGGGGACGGCCGTATGCCCGTTGAGCGTCCTGCTGGCGAGCGTCCTGCTGGCTGTGTTTACAACATACACAGTTTGGCTGTGCTTACAACATACACAGTTTGGCTGTGCTTACAACATACACAGTTGGGGGGGGAGGTACCGTTGGGAGTCTCCCTCCTTGGACTGCCCCGCTCTGCCCTGGGTGAGTCGCGGGAGTCATGGCACTGGCCGTCAAGGTAGGGGCTGCCTATACCTCAGCCTGCACAACCTGCCACAGCAAAACGCCAGTCGCCCCCTCTCACACACTCCTCACACTCCACAACGACCACCCAAACGATTGGTCTTAGGGACAACAGCGACCGCACCCTTCTTTCTCTTTCCGAAACCCCAAACCTACCCCAGTCAAGCCTACTGTAGGTGTACGGCACAACGCTGCCCGATATAGAAAGGTACACGAAAAGAAAGATGGACGTAACCCACACATGACAAGACCAGCCTCCTGGCTGCGAAAAAATGCAACCGGGTATGCAACCGGGGCTAGGTCCCGCTTGCACGAACTATGGGATACTGACCGTAGATAGCAAAGATCAACGGCCGAAATATCCTAATTTGCGCAAGTGGGACCTTGCCCCCCGTAAGGCGCAGCCTTCTGGCTGCTAATTACTCTGATGTTGGGGCCAGTGGTGGTCTCAAACCGCTCATCGCTGCCGTCCGCAGTCCGATCGGGCGACGGCCTGGATCCTGGATCGTTGCAACAACAGCAAATATCCAAGTCGGACGTCTCGTCCGTCCCGGGGCAAGGTCCCACTTGCGCAAATTAGGAGATTTAGGCCGTTGATCTTTCCTATCTACGGTCAGTATCTCATAATTCGTGCAAGTGGGACCTAGCCCCCAGTCGGCGGCCTCGATCGTCGATGTGAAGACTGCAAGTCTGCACGGCAATCCAGGACGTCGGCCCGGCACCACCGGGCCAACGGCACGGATGGTCCTACTGTAGGCGTACCAGTACCCGTAGGTCCTACCACTACCCTCCTATACGGTACGGTAGACCCCATCGCCGCCCTAGGCGTAGGCCTACCACTGCCCTCCGTACCGGGTGTGTGGGTGGGTGCTGCATGCTTGCGTGGCTGCAGTTGTGTGCGTTCGTGCGTGGGGTGTGCTGTGCTTGCCACTCACGCACAGAGAGAGAGAGAGAGAGAGAGAGAGAGAGAGAGAGAGAGAGAGAGAGATGCGGGGAAACATGAGAGATCCTTTTTTTAGTCGTCGGAACGGTGAGCAGCTACGCGCGAAAGAGGTAAGCCGCGATCTGATCCTTTCTCCTCCTCCTCCTCCTCCCCCTCCTCCTCCTCCCCCTCCCTTTGCCCTCGGTCCTCCATCTTTCAACATCCTGTCGCCATATCCGTCCGCACCTGCGTTACCCATCTCTCTTCCCCATGGCGACCTAAGCTCCGGCTTCTTCAGCTGCCGTCATCTCGGACTCTCGCCCCGTTTGCGTACCATTTCTTTCGATCTCTTTCGAGAATATCGTTGGTTCAGTCCAGACGACGAGCTTATGCCAAGTTTTGTTGATTCATGTGTCACGCACGCTCACACAGGGGGGGAGAGAGAGAGAGAGAGAGAGAGAGAGAGAGAGAGAGAGAGAGAGAGAGAGAGAGAGAGAGAGAGAGAGAGAGAGAGAGAGAG